AAAAAAGGAAAAAAAAATCTCCAGCATATGCAGTTGCCATTTCATGTGGGTCGGCTCCCTCATCCTGCTGATGTCTTTGTGTTGTCTTGTAATGGGGCTGAATAAAGTTTCTTTACAATGGACAAGAGAAAGGTTGGTTCTATCGCAGAGGGTTCTCATGGTCTGCTTACAACCTACCGTGGAACCACTGCTCCTTCCTTCCTAGGGGAAAAATATAACCGTTTTTGCCAACCAGTCAGTACATAAACTTGCTTTACATGTTTTTATTTAAAGACACTTTAATATACTTGACTCATTATCATTGAACTCAACCCAACAGCACTGTTTATTCATGCCATAACAAAGCTTACTTAATTCACATTTTCTCCCCAAGGTACATCACAGCCTTTTTAAGTATAAGAACACAAGGCTGCACGTGTTTAAAACAGCAAAGTTGCCAACAGAAAGCAAGACAGTCTAGGTTGAAACAAGATCATGTCAGCTTGTTTGACCTCAGCTGGGGACATGTGCATCAGGCATATGCTGAGTTTTGATTTCACGTTTACAAGGAATCTGTACAAAGTACAGCCAGTACTAGTAAAAACGGAAGGTTTTTGTTCTATTCAAAGATTATCATAGAACTCTAGCATCTTTACAAAAATTAGTGTTGACCCCATAGAACAATGTAGAACTGCCCCTGTAGGCTTCAATGGCTAATTTTTCCACCTTGGCTGGTCATTTCAAACTGCTGGCCTTTCAGTTAGTAGCCAAATACACCACACTACCACCAGGACTGGCAGTGTGTTGTTTTTTAAATGTATCAATTAAAATGCACAGCTTTTTATTAAAAGTTCTTGGTCCCTATTTTTGCTCCCCTCCCTTTTTAAATAGGCTTCAATCACTACCAATCCCAGGAGTGAAAAGCAGAACCCAACAAACTCAGTCAAATACATTATGCACATCAGTTAAAAATTGTTATGAAAGCGAGCCTCTGATTGCAGGAGCTAGTCAAACAGAGTCACCATTTGGGATTTCTGAAGGAGCCCATTTCATTCCCTATGTCCGATCCAATGAGATCTATTACCTGGATCCTGATGCACCGCTCTCTAGGCCTTTGACCCAGGACCTTCAACACCAAAGCCAGCATGGTAAGTACGAGTATTCTTACTTGCTATTCCAGCCCACAGTTCTAAACTTCAGTTGCCTTTAGAAAGTGTACCCAGTCTTACAAGGTGTGCTCCTATTAGAGATGGGAAATAAACTTTATTTCTAAAATTTTGCTTGTCATGCTCCCAATTTAATGAATTCTTAAAATGTTAGGTAATAATTTAGGGCTATGTTATTAGAAATGCATGAGATTTGTATTAATTTCACCTGTCCTTTTAGACTCTGCTCAAGAACAACAGCAGCTCCTTGAATCTGACCATGTCAGGGACCCACTTCTTAATCCTAATTTGGTGAAAAATAGAGATCGACAGCAAGCAATCCTTAAGGGACTGTCTGAACTGAGACAGGTATGAGCTTTCCCACCATGTGTAAGACTGGTTTTGTGTCTTTAACTGTTGGAAGTGCTATAGGACTACAGCTTTCACATTAGCATCTTTAAAATTCTCTTTACAGTATTAAGTCATGAGACAGTTCAAATAGACATTTTTATTGAATGAAAAAAACATACATTTAAATGGTAAAACATTATCAGTAAGGCCCTTTGAAAAAGAAAAAAAGCCACCCTAAGTCTATAGTAATGTTAAAAAAAAGCTGTGCTGGTAAGTTTTTGAAGCTGTTAGCTTCAAGTGTGGCAGTTAAAATTCACCAGCAGACTATTTTGTTCCGTTCAATTTACAGCCCTAGAAAGCCTATATAGGCTATTAGAATTGCCTCAATGAGTGAAATTTTTGAAATTATAATTCAAGTAATGTCAACTCACACAGTAATAACCAAACTCGCTGCCATAGTGTCTTGATTCATTGCCACCGTGTAGGGCAGAGTACAATTCTCCTCTTGTGGAGGTTCCAGCAATTCCATTAGCAGCCAAGAGCTATTTTTAACCACTGTGACATGATTATCTTTCCTGAAAGTGAGAAAGTATATCTACATCCTAGCTTAACTGGAGATAAAATTGTGAGGAAGGGCCTACTTTAGCAGGACCTTCCTTGTGTTAACCACTGATGTTTGAGTGCAGTCAAGCACTTGTTTTTATGGACTGACATCTCGCTCCAGAGGGAGGGAGACTTGGTAACAGCTACCTAGCTAAGTGGGAAAACAACAGTGCCAAGAGTTGCTGAAAACCCAACAGGACAAATGAGTAAAAGCTTTTACACTACAGCCAAGATTCACAAGATAGGAATGTAAGTTAGGAATTACTTTGCAAGCCTGCTTTTGTACTCCCCTTTACTAACAAACATAACATTGTGATTTCAGGGGCTTCTTCAGAAGCAGAAGGAATTAGAAACTAATCTCATGCCTTTAGCTGCCAATCAAGAAGATAATTTTGGTTCTTCATTTTAAATATAGAACACCAAATCTTTAACCTTTGCTTATTTTTTAAAAACATGCACATTATGTAGTAAATATGCTGTCTTTTTTAATAAAGCAGACACTTTTGTAAAAGTTTGGTATTTTTAATTTTTTAAGAAAACTTTTTGCAACCTTAGAGGTTTATAAAAACTTTCTACTTACCGTGATACAGGCTGAGGTTTCTAACCTGTATTCCCTTTAGACATGTATGAAAATTTTATCTAAATCCTATTCAAAACATATTTACAATTTAGCATGAGTAAGCAATTAGCAATAAATGTGAGTTTGAATACATATCTACTCTATATGTGCTTAATAAATGGTAATGAATACTATTAAAATCCCATCAAAAATAGACTTCCATTTTTCTGTGACAACCAGTTTAAAAATCTATAGCTAATGTCTAACATCTCTAACAAGTCTTTTTTTAAAAACATGAGATTGAAATTTTAACAATTTTACATGGCTAAACTTGATATTCTTCTAAGGTGGTATTGAGTCAATAAATCCTATAAATATTAACACCTTTGTAAAAAAAAAAAACTATACAAAATCATCAGACAAAATAAATAATTCAGCAAAAGTAGTTTATCACCTGACATCAAAAGTACAGCCACTGATGTTTACCACCCTTTCTGTAAAGACCATGGTTGTACATATAAAACTCAAAGTGTCAAACATGTAATTCAAGTAACAATATATGTTAAAATATATATATTTATTTCAATCTTCAGATGCTTCAACTTACATGTCGTCATGATTTTAAATAAGGGGGAAAATTGACAAAAGACAAGAAACTTTGTTTAGATTATGAATTATAAATTGTTAATTCACAACTATATGTATATTTTAAGTTACTATTCTCCTTTGAAAACAACTTGAAGAATCCTTTTTTTCCCAACTTAAATGGAGATTTGTCTATCCAAGCTTTGAGCATAAGCAGATAAAAAGTAACTTTCACTTTCTCGAGGCATATGGTGTCCCCAAAAAGGTCTGATGAGTAAGAACATTAAAATGACTAAACTGATGGGACATATTTAATTGAAAGTTGCTATGTAAGTCTTGTTCTGCTGAATGGCTGTTTTCATCTGATTCTGGGCATACTCTATCAACCGAAGCTTGCTCTTCAAAATCATTTTCATACGTCTTATCTTCTAATAAACTTTTGTGCATGTCAGGAGATGACTGCAACTCAGTATGAACATTCTTTTTTTGCTCTGTTCCACGTGATCCTTTGGTTTCTTTCGCCAATATTTCTGAATGAAAATTGCTGCATACTTCTATTTGTGAGATTTCATCCCCTGAATCCAGAGACATATCCTCTTCATCCTTTTCAGCGCTTTCTAAAAGAGCTACATTTAAAAAACAAAAAGCCCTCCTCTATTGAAATACACACTTTGTTTAAACTGTAAAATTATACACTACTCACACAATATAATGCGTCAGGGTCTGCAAGTCCACAATCACTTAAAGCTTGGTCTTCTGCCACAAGTTCATTTAGTCACAACACTCACACTAGGTGTGAATGTCCAGATACTCCGATGCTAAAAGCTTCTGCGAAATGTGTTCACGTTTAATGTTGGGAAATCCCAACTCCCAGCTCCAAAGAGGTTAATGTCAAAACAGCATCTAAAGTTATACGGTAATTCAGTATTTGACAAAACAAATATCAAATAAAATTCTTTGACATCTAACTTCACTGGACTGACTACTTTGCTGGTTAGGCTATCAAATGTTTGATCATCTCTGCTTTTCATCGAAAACAAAAGTAAGTACATCTTTCATTTTCTACAAAGCCTGGACCTAAAGCAGAGGCCATCTCACAAAAGTCTAAAACTATAGAAATCGGTAAGATAAATGTATAAAATGTATAAAAGCTTTACACAATGTTAAAGCTTTCTCTCTAGCTTCCTAATTTTTTTCTTACTACAACAATCCCTTTGCTGACAATAGCAACCAGTAAAGATTTTGCTTTCATAAACTATGTAACTCATCAACTTGTACTGACTACAGTATAATAAGATCAGCAAGATTTGTGCATGCTTAAGTATCAGAGTACATTACTTAAGACATGCCCCTGCGGGCCACACACCCCACCCCACCCAGCACTTTACTTATTTGCAGATCCATTTTATACTTATTTTCAGCATGAACGATTCTCTTTTTCTGTCTGCCTTAAAGAAAATGAAAAGTTACCTGACTGTGATTCATGATTCTCAGTAGCAGCAAGTATCGGATGGTTTTCTTCTGTGTTGGTGTTGTGGTAGCCCACAAGACTTTTAAAGTTTTGCATAAAGTCTTCCGTAGTTGCCACCACTATTCCGTTATCTGCATAACTGGAAAACATCTTGATGTTCTTCTCTAAACCGGGGGGTGGGGGAAGGAAGAGTTTCCAAGTATGAAATATTTAAAAATACGCAAGGACCAAAAGTGCCTGTGCCCAGTCTTCACAAAATCCTTTTTTCCACATTTTCAGTATCATAGCTTCAATGACCAACACCCACCACAGCCCCACAAAATCCTTTCCTCCACATTCCTAGACCAATAGGAGAAAGGTAGGTCAAGAGTGCTTTCTTTACCTGTTAAAAAGACTATGTGCCGTTGCTGTATGTTCTGAGCCTGAAGTCTAATAAGGCAATCCAGTTCTGGAGCATTTCGAGTTTGTGAGTCACATATGTGGTACGATAAAATTTCAACCAGATGTTTCTTCTGGTAGACATTCAGAAGCGTCAACAAACTTAGAGCCTTAGTATTCAATCTGTGAAATCAAGCAGTTTGGTGTCTGGATCTGCATGTCTAAAATATAGTATAGATGTTTTTGCTAAACCCCTAATTTCTAAACTTAGGTAACTAGTGGCCACTGTACTTGGCAGTTCACTGCCTGGTGCAGGGTTCTACTGTCCACATGTGTGTCCAGGGACTCTCTGGTGCTGATGGCCAGTTAACTCGGTTTAGGCTAAAATCTCCACATATCATTTGTATTTACTAAATAATAATTAGCTTTAGCTTTGTTAGAGTTTATAATGAAGGACATGAGACCAGAAAGCTACTTGTATGTTTTAAGAAACATAGCATCAGGTTGTCGAAGCCATGGGCGATTTTCTGGAAGATGTTGAGTACTATGTAACTGAACAAGGTACATCTTTGGAACTACTTCACATGACTTGAAGATGAATAATGTTCTATCTATCACAAATCCCTTTATTGGGTGGGGGTTAATCCTTATCCAAATATTCTCACTTATCATGAGTGGTTTGTTGTGTGAAAATTGGTCTTATGCAAAAATGGAGGATGACCCCATCATTACATAACTGGTACAGTCCTATTGTTATATAATTGCCAAACTACTGAGCGTCTTAGCCTTTCAATTTGACATATAACCTTAACCATCAATCACTTTTACCCTCACCCCATATGCCTCAGCCTCTGTTACTGCTCGGCATACATTGTTAATGTGCAAAATGGCCTTTGATTTTACTATGGCCATAAGAGGAATATAAGGTAGCAATAAAGTGAAGAATAGGATAAACTGCTAGGGAAGTTGTTCCATTTTGATTATTACTCCAAACTCCCAAGTGACAAAGATTAAACCAGTATTACCTATACATTGAACTAGAGCATCCCCAAATTTATATCTAAACAAGAATACTACTTCCTGTATGATGGCCACAATAATTGTTACCATTTCCAGGGATGTCTGAAAGACATCTGTGAAAATTGAGCAGCACCCATGATCCACAACCATGGAAAAATTGACAATTTGTGAACACATGTTAACATCAACAATTACTTATTTCCCAAACTCTTACCTTCCCAATTCCTTTAACTTTTTTTGAAATTTACAGTGGACTTTCCATTGCCATTTGCCTTCTGGAGTACTAAGTTCTTCAAGGAATGTCAGAAAAATTTTAAGGTTCTCTGTTAGAGATAAAGAAATTCATTTGTAATTTAATACATGTCACTCCAGTACTGAATAACAGAAATGCTTGTACATATTACATACAAAGATCAACCTTCCATCTCCTCTCTCCCTCTAAGGAAGACAGACCTACATATCCCCAAAGCAGCAGCCCTGCACGAAGGAACATGCCAGTGACCAGAGTGTTCCAAGTGCGGCAGGGATAGAGTCTTGTTCTATAACCGATTTAGAGACAATGACTTGAAAAGACTAAACAGGGAAGGAAGTTTAAGTAATAAAACTTCTAGAAAATGGTGAGAATATACTATTTATCCACGAATAGCAAAACAAATGGCCACTAAATTAAAAGTATGAGTGATACCATGAATGAGAAAAGGAGACATTATATGCTCAGAAGAAATCAGTACATCTTACCGATTGTGATGACGTCTGGATTTAGAACGGATTCATCAGATACAATAAAGCCTCCAGACACAAATAACTCGTTGTACGTATGGTTTTTTACATCATCCAGGCTGTCCACACCAGCAAAACTAACACACGGGAGCTTCTTGAGCATCACCAAACCAGGTACCTATATAAAAACAATGCCAAAATGAAAGCAGAGAGAAAGATGGATAAGGAAATGAACTTACAGACTCAAGAGTACAGTAACCTACTAGAAATGTCTAACAAACTAAGGCTTACACATGTTAGTGAGTTGCCTATGGAAAGCAAAGTATAAAAATATTATTTCCCAGTACCTGCCATGAAGGACAAGCAGCTTACAATAGTCCTGGAAACAGAATCAACAAAATGCCTGACTGAGTAGTCAGAATTCAGATGAGGGCAAGAGCCTATGTGTACTAACAGGAAAGGCCCCCAAAGAGAGCAGTAGGGATCTGAGCAAGGTTCATAAAGACTGGATGGGGCTTCTCCAAATCCAAGACAAAAGGGAAATGGGCTGTCAAAAGAAGAAGGGGCACAAATAGCCTTAGCCTTGGGTTTACCAATGGAGATGAAGGCAGTGTAAGGATAATCAGCAGACCCTTGACACTCAAGGATTTAATACTCTCAATACTGACTATTTGAAGGATAGGGAAGATGATTTGTGATGCACAGCAATTTAAATTTGCAGAGGTACAAACATGAAACAAGTTGATTAGCTCTCCAGCCCTAAGCTCCCCAACCTCAAAGTTCTACTTCCTTTAAAGCTACGATAATATTTTTAAAACGGCTTTAGTCTCAAAGACAGTAAGATTTTAAAATAAGGAAGTTCTTATAACCAAAGTAAGAAGTGAATTTGACTTAATAGTCTACCTTGTGAATGAAACCTGCAATGTCTTCATTTTGAATAATAATCAATAGTTTATCTAATTCTGATCTTCTTTCCAAAAACTGTTCTGGATGACATTCTGTATTGCCTAATTTGATAAGATATTCCTGTTAAAGAAAAACAACTAAATCAACATTAAAAAGCTTTTTTTGCAAACATCCATTTAACCCCAGAAATGAGACGAAGTGATAAGCTTAGCTAGTATTTGAGCGCTAGTAAACCCAGGCGCTTGTGTATCCTCTAGGAGACTGCAGAGACCATCAGAGGCACTCCCTAAATTGGACAACACCAGTCATTAGGAGCGGCTCTTTGTACTATATATTACAAAGTTAAGCAACATAGCCAAGTAAATGCTGGTGCGGACTAACAGGACAGGGGATTAGCCCTAGTTCTTAACCCACCTCCATTAAACTCAAGAGCCCACACACCAACCACTCCCTCACCCCTACGGTTCCTTTCTAAGCCAGCCTTTGGTTATTTGCCATCACTGGTGCAGTCCCCTTCCCAGTTACACAGCGTTTTTACAATCACTCTAGCTCATGTAATTCAAAAGAGTATTCATAGAGCTTCAGTAAGTACGAATGACAGTCACACATAAAATCAGCCATGCCTGTCAAGTTAACATCTTCAAGCAAATAATATAGACAGATTCTCTTATCCAAAACCTCCCTCCATTCTGGGAGCATAGTGCTACCTGTCAAAGGACACAAGACCGGAGTCTGTGCAGTTAGAATCCTGAACCTCACAACCACCAGCTGGGTCCTAGTAGGCACATTCCTCACTCCCCAAACCCAGGAGCAGATCAACTTTCCCAAGCTTGTCGCAGCTACTCCGACAGCCACAACCCAAATCAACCTCACCTTGTGATCAGTCTACTGTTCTACCCAAGAGTTGTCTATAAGCTTCACATCCAATGAGTATATTTTTATGGAGCCCTCAACTAAAGGGGGCATGTTACACAACTTTAAACTCTTACGTTTCTGGGCAGATCTTAGACTAGCGCAGAGGAGGCAAATTACTGTTGGCCAGGGCTGCTCTGATGTTTAAACAGCTTGAAATGTGAAGTCATTCTAGATAAGATAGTTTAACTACTACAGTAGCATATTAGTTTGACTCCAGAAATATTTAAGAAGTTCAAGTCTGAGTCACAAGAACTTTTACTCCACTGTAACATTTTTGCTGGAATTTCTCACTGGATAGTAACTGGAAGAATTAGAGTTCCCATCTGTGATTTACCATCAGTTTGAAAAACATCAGTCTTCTATATAAATTAACAGTTTCTTCCGCCAACATGAATTGTCACAGGAAAATGTGTTTCCCATCCCCTCAGATCTGATTATATAACTTTATTGCCACTGTTAAGGGGAGTGGAGTTATACCAAGCACCAAGAGGATTGTGCCCAACCTATTCTCTATCAGCATGCTACATGACAGTACTCTAAAGAGAACTGTGCTTAGGAACACTGTGGGGGTCAGGGGCCAAGTTGGGAGGAGTGGAATGGAGAAGAAAACATAAGGCATCAGTAAGGAAGGAACCTAGAACCCTGTCTCCTCTTGCACTCCCTAGACTCTTCAGATCCTCGCTAGTAGGTACCACCTGAAGCACAATGAAGACACGGCCTCAGCTTCCAACAGACATGCCAGCAGGGCGTAAGAAGCCGTCTGTTTAAATTAGTCCTCCTACTTCCTAAAGCTGAACAAGCTGAAACCATGCCAAAATGCCATAAATGGGAGCAGGCATTTATTTTAAAACCTTAGGCATTTCCTTAAACAAATCCTATATAGTTTATACTATTTGATACAATTAAACCAGTTATATAATTGTTACAAGTTACATATCTACTCTTACACATTTTACTTATGTATATACCTTTACTGGGAGTCTCATGGTAGTGCAAAAGATTTAAGTACTGGAATACTAACCAATAGGTTGACAGTTCAAACCAAGCCAAAGATTCCACTCAAGCTTGGTGTTCTGAGAACCTTGAAAACCGTATAGAGTGCATTTCTATTGTACACATATGGTTACTGGCTCAAATTAGCTTGACAGCAATTAACATGTATACAATTGTGCAAGCATGTGCACACACACAGAGGTGCATGTTTTTTAAGCTCAATACCAATATACTAATCTATGCAACAGCTTCAACAGAAAGAAAATACCTAACAGCAAGGAATTGTTCATGATTGAACAGTTTTTCAGGACCATCAAGGTTGGCTGTTGCCTGGACAGGTTTCGTTTTCTATTTGACTGACAAAGCCCCATGTACCGAATCCCCACAATTAAAAAAAAAAAAGAACAATAGTAAAAAATTATGAACCGTTTTACAGGTATAGATGATGTGTGTATACACAAATCATCTTCCAAATGACACTACAATCTAAATTCCAAAATAATTAGGTAGCAGGTTGTGAGCTCAGTTGAACCTAACAGTCGTTTATTCCCCTGTGCATTATTAAATTGTGAAAATGTACGATCATCAACATTTAAAGACAAGCGTATGCAGCATTACTACTGCCCTCTTATGTAGTTACCTTTATTTCTTTACAGAGCACACTTTCTTCATCTTCATGAATATAAAATTTCACAGTGTTTTTCTGGACATCTTTCATTATCTTAACCAAACTGTTAAACACTTCAGGTTCTAACTGGCTTATAAAATTTGAAAGAGCTGGCGGAGCATTAATGTTTACATCACTAGGCGATTTTGTCGTGTCTTTTTCTACGGGATCCCGAGCAGTATTGCCAGGCACGGTATGATCAGACATCACCATTGGTTCTGTGGCATGGTATGGTTGGTTCATCTCTTCTGCAGTTACATGCAAGGCTGAAGAGGAAGGCTGCTCATGAGAGCTGGTGTCTTTCAAAGCATCACTACAAAGTGATGCAGGGAGGCATTTGTTGTTGTAATAACTTGAGGAAACTGGCATGCAGTGCCTTCCCACAGTACTCAATGCTTTCTTGGTACCAGAATCATTAGGACTGGCAGGTGGCAGATTCTCAACGTTGGCTGATGCTTTGATAATAATACTATTTAGTTTCTCATGCAAGCCATCAACAAACTCCTGCACGCCAGCTCTGGAAGTCTTAGAATATATGAATTCAGAAAGCCGTTTAATCTTCTCTTGGGTTGAAAAGATAGGTGTGGACGCTTTACTGACATAAGGAACGTTCTTTTCCTTTAGGATCTCTTCTATCTTCCTAGAAAAGAGATTGTATTCTCCTAACACTGTCCTCTCTATGGTTTCACTCAGTGTGGGTGGTTCTGGTGCTGGATCACACTGTTCCTCCACCGTCACCACCTGACCTGTCAACACGTCCTCCTCAGTGGTGCCCTTTAGTGTGTCTGTAAATGGAGAGGATGGAAACTGGTAATCAGAACTTCTCTGTCTACTTATTACCCGGGGGTCGTTAGGGAAGGCCTCCTGCGGTGGCAGACACACCAGTTGGTCTTCTGGTGATTTCATACCTACACAGGAAGAGTTCATTATTGTAAAAGCTATCAAAAAAGGTAACATCCAAAAACACACACTCAAATTAAAAAACAAAACAAGCACAAGTATATATTTAGAACTAATCAAGCATTCAGGGTTTCACTGACTGCTTTACTAAAATTTTATTAAAAATTACAATAAAAACAAATCCTGGTTCTAAATATGCCCTACTTGGGATTGGTCATTGGAATCCAGTAGCTATAAGAACAATTCTAAATGTTATTTTCTTTGCTGTCTTCTGAAGTGTTCGAAAAAAAGCAGCAATTTGTAATGAAGACAAATGAAGTCCTTTGTTTCTGCTTACTTACCATTTTGTAGATGTGATTTTAGTGGACATGTTTTCAACAGAAGTGATTCATAATAGCTTGTTCCAGCCCCATATTCACTGCTATGTAGAGTAATATACCCTCCCTCCCCAAAGATGAGAATTCTCAGTGCTAAGCATTAGAAAAACATACCAAATAGAAATGCTGTGGGAACGGTGCCAATTAAGAATTGTGTTCAGGATGCAGGATAATTCTTTTTTTTTTTTTTTTTGGGGGGGGGGCGGGCGGGGGCGGGGCACTTTGATAGGTTTTTCCTAAATACTTTCATTTTATCATAGAAATAACTCCAAGAAAGATCAGGGTAGCTATCACCATTTGAGATAGAGAGGCCATTCAGTTAGCTGCTACTAATGGGACCACAATATGACTTTTCAAAGTAAAAAAAGCCCTACGTTCAAGCACAATGCATTCTTGAAACTACTTAAGGGCCTTAACTCCTTAGGAAACAATGGGAAAATAGATTCAATAGCAATTTATAATATACTGTATTTTAGGGAGAAATCCATAATCTTTGCACAGTTTTATTACAAAATTCTACATTTTAAAAATTACTAACTTTCTTAAATCTCAGCTAACAATCCCTAAAAAATTATACTTCTTGGGCATATGAATAAACAAAAGAAGAAACCAAACGCAATGCCATTGAATCAATGCTGTCTCATAGCAAATTTATAGGACAGGGTAGAACTGCCTGAGTTTCCAAGACTGTAAGCTTTACAGGAGCACAAAGCCTTATCTTTCTCTGGAGGAGTGGCTAGTGGTTTCAAACTGCTGGCCTTGCAGTGAGCAGGACAGGGTTAGTTGTTTATTCAAGTTGCACCCATGCAAAATTCGGTTTTGATTTTCCCCACACTCACACTTTACTAAAATTTTAAAAGAGCCTCAACAGCAGTCATCTTATGTCACTTTCTGCCAATTCAGTGATTCTCATGAACCACTGCACTCATTTACTACAAAATCACATCTGACGAGTAAGATCACAGTAGATCTGTGGAGAGGGAAAGGGGGAGTAAAATATGTGAAATAGCAAGGCAAAAATTATAACTGTGTGGAACTAATAAATTCAAATTCTATAATTTAATTCAAGATCTTAATTTTACAGTTTAGTATGCAAAAACAGAAAGGCTTGAACAGACACATAATGAAATTGCTAACAGTGGCTGATCCTGGAAAGGAAATGGGGCAGGGGTAGAAGTGTTTTCTAATTTCTTAAATTGTTTACCAGGCTCAAACGTCTTGATTTTTTCAAATAAAGCCCAATAGAATTGGACCTTGTAAAACAAAGGAGTTGGGGAATACCACAAGTAATTTTAAAACTTCTCATTAAAAAAAACACAGCTATACTTTGCATTACCAACAAGCTTGTTCCTGAAGGGCTGTTAGTAAATGGAATTTTTATAAACAGAAATATAGCTTTAATCCACATATGGGAATGAATTTTCTGATTAAAAAGCAAACTCTGTACTAAATCCCCTTTAAAACTGCAGGTAACCTAATTTGCTTTATACAAATTTCCCCTATATTTTGATTGACAATTTCATTTTTTAAAAACTTCATCAACAATTTTCAAAGACTGATACATGTCAACCCACACTTTACAGACTGACATCCCAGCATTGCAGTACTTTGACTTTTAAGTGAAAGAGGAGTAGTGAGTTCTCTAAAAGGCAGCATCATTCAGGAACCTACACTTTCAGTCATAAAATATAAGATGTTACCACTAATAAAGGAAATGTAAATACTGATGAGTCATTATGAAACGATAACTGCTGTTTCCAATGAGAAAGAAGTCCTGACAGACAAACAACATGCATAAAACTCAGACAGACTGAGTAAGAGAGTCAAACAAAAGGGGACATATTTAGGTTCTATTTATCTGAAACTCAAGACCTGGCAAATCTAATCTAGTAAAAGAAGCTGGCATAGTGATTGAAGATACTGAATGTACGGAGACAGAAGAGAAGTCTCAGGAGTGTGGGAAATGATCTACAGCTTGATCTGTGTGGTGGTCCCCTAAATGTATACCTGTTTAAATATTCAAGTCATACACTAAAGATTTGTGCATTTTCCTCTGTGTTCCATACTTGCTATTCTTGATTCTATTATCTGCCTTTTAGAAGACAAAAGATTTTCTTGAAGAAAACAAACAATATTTGTTTCTACATTTCCAAGAGAAGGAGTCAATGTAGTGATCTACTAATGGCAAAACTAAACAGATTTCAAGACTAGGAAACATCAAAACAAAACAAATATAAAAGACACACCACAAACTCTAAGCAAGAGAACAGAATCTATGAGCACCCGAAGGAAGTCCAAATGGACTCCAAAGAAGAATCCTAGGCACTTAGTGCGACTAGTTAATCAGGAATATTCGTATAGGCTTCTGGACCCAAAAGGTGTCTCATGTCTCTTATTTTAACTATCTTTGGAAATCAGTTTCACAATGAGAAGAACTGGGTTAAAAAAATTCAAGATAAGGAATAACGTAACGTACCTAAAAGATTGATAGCCTTTCATTTTATGTTTAAAAGAAACTTAAAGATTTTCATAGATATACTGCAAAAATGAAATAAGAAAATATACTGGTCTTTGCAAGTCATTCATATCAAACAGAACTTGTTTTAGTGGAAGAAAACAGTCGCTAACAGCACACCCTTTACAAAGAATAACAAAAATTTTTTAAGGATCATCTAAACTTTCTATAATTATTGAAATCTCTATCAATGCTCTATTAATGGAGAACCGGAAATGTAAACAGCAAAATCTGAAGAAGGGCACACTGGGAGGAAAAGCAAAGCGAGCCTTCTCACCTGGTGTTTGTTTCTCACCTTGTTTCCCCAGCTGGTCTTCTGGACTTCTTGCATTCCCTCCTGAGGGAAAGCATCCATTAGGCATTTGTAGGCTCTCTTTAGTTAACACTAAATGCTAATCAATGGAAGTTTTCCCTCTTTGGACTAAAATAATTTAAAGGGTCCTTCAAAAATAGAAAAGTGTTCTTTCCATAAAAGTAATGATAAAGTCATCAACACCTACATGATGAGACTTCAAATGGGTCTCCAGGACAAGATGATGTCTAAATGAGGGATACTTAGGATAAGCTCCATATCAACTACTTCCCTGTTCTACCATCCAAGAGGCAATCGGTATCATAAAAGCACTCGTTTCCTCTTCCACCATTTATTGTCCTGCCCTCTCTGGTTAAGATACTAAAAATAAAGTTGTAGAAATTTTTCAGAGTCCTTGGGTCTTAGCACATTCTAGTTTATACCAGTCTTTTTGGCATTAATAGTTTCTTCTTTTACAAGGTTAAATAAAAAGTCTAGAAATAGAAAAGATGTGCCCTGGAGAGATTTCAAAAAATGCTTAAGTCAACAAGAATGAGTAAGAATGTAGACTATTAAGAGTAAGTATATTAAGAGTGTTTGCAGATTCTTCAACATTTGCTAAATTATTCTTCCCCCATGCTTCAGGTAAGCTTTCTTAAGATAATTTATTTGAACATTTCAGACTATTCTCTAAGACGATGCAGTTATTCTGAATAATCCAGTATTAAGAAAGAAAATTTTTTCCAAACAGATGAAACTTAACTACTTACTACTTGCTATCTTTGTTATATTGTTTACTCTGAGTTGAAAAGAGATCGCTTAATTGGCTGCCCAAAGACCATCATTTCAACTATGTAGCCACCTCACCTTCTTAGGAACTCAGTTTCTACCAACCATTTTCATTTGGAAGCTTGCATGCTAAGCTACATGGGGAGAGTATGTCTTAAAATCCTCGTTTTCAAAGAGCTCTTTTGCAGACATTTGCTGATGCTGACTTAGAATAGCAATACTCAGTGATCAACATTATTATACTGTGCAAAATAAAGACACTGAAGATTTCAAAGCCACATAAGATGTAGACCTGGTTGCACAGAAGGGACTCTAGAAAAAATAAACCCTTCAGGAAACGGATCACTAATAAAAGGAAGCAAACTTGAATCTCAGTGTACTTGTTCTTACCTGTAATAGGAATCAGTTTCCAATGTATTTCAGGCTCTTCAACAGTGTTTGACTTAGACGGTTGTCTACCAAATCCATGTTCAGAAGGACACAAACTGCAATCTTCAAAATTGTCCATGTTAATTAAATTTGGATCCTAAGAAGTGAATTATACATATTGTAAATGAGTAAACGCAGCATTGTAAATGAGTAAAACTCTAGTCTCAAAAAACATGGATGTTTCCTCCTCAATACATAACCAAATGAGAATTTAGAGCAGGGCTCATAAATTTTTTTTTCTTGTAAAGGGCTAGTAGTAAATATTTTAGGCTTTGAGAGCCAGATGCTCAATTGAGCCATTGTACTCCTAAAGCATTTACAGACAATACTCAAAAACGTTGAGTCAAGGCTATGTTTGAACAACGATTTAGTTAAAAAATAGGCAGTAGGGCTGTAAAAACCAATTTTGAGCACTACTTAAGTCAGGAATTTTAGTACTCACTTCCGGGGCACATATACATAAGTCAGGAATTTTTATCAATACAGTTATTTCTAATATCTACTTTTTATATCTCCCCAAGTGAGCCTCCTGCCATCATCCTCTCTGTAAAACATGTTCCAAAACTGTATCAAGAAAGGTTAGGAACATACACATACGACATTTATTCAAATATAGGAAAGAGAAAATGGAGAAAAGAATCCATTAGAAATAAGCAGCCCTTAGGAGCATGAAACCGTATCAGTACTGCTGCCTTGTGATACAACCACTTCTTGGAAGCACTAAGTCTACTTTTCAGCTCAGTTTCCCAAGTACATAACATACATAAACTGCATGCCCTGTGGAGTCCAGCCCCACAATGAAAGGGTTCGGCGGAGAACCATGCACAAAAGATGAAAAAGAAGACAGCGGCGGAGCAAAGAGGACTGATCTCCATTCTCGGGAGAAGGAAGCAGAAGAAGAATTCACAGTTTATTCAACAATAGGGTTTTATAGTACTTGACGTCTGCAAGCCTGTAATACATACATATTAAACAAATGAGCAATGTGCTAATCTTGAATATCCCAAGCCCTCAAGGGGAATACCTCAAAGAGTACTGGGTATGCAGAGACAAGAGTTATAAATCACTCCTTAAGAATAAGGGACAGTGACTGAACTATGGAATGATGTATTAAACCCCAATTAATAAAAAAAAAAACCTGTGAGGCATTCTAATCTGTCTGATAGGGTGGCTCTAAGTGAAAAGCAAACAAACAGAAAAGAGTAAGGGACAAAAGGAGCTGATGCTTAAGAGATAAGCATCCTTTAACTGTGTATGTGAGAAGCCTGGCGCCTGTAGGAGACAGCTTCACAATAGCATATTAATGGGAGCGCCCATGTGCTTGTGGAGAAAACCACCTTCCTGGAATATGTGCATTTGGGCACTTCCCATATCTCGGACTGTGGAGGCATGCCTCTCACTAGGGCTGGCTTGCCAGTGCCAAGCCCTGTGGTCCCGAGTCCTGGGAGAAGGCTGCATACACTTTTTTCCAGGTCCTCAGTTTCACCCATTTCCCCCTTTTGTTTTAACTTCAAAAGGGCTAAAAATATAACATGACTACTCACTATCCACTGGAGCCTTCTGTAAAAACACCAGAGGACTGCAAAGATAAAACCAACGACAATAAGCAATACAGCCAAACCAGGGCTCACTAGCCAGGCATTACGACTCTGTACTCAGGCCCTGGGTAAAAGCCCCCCGAGCCCATCCACCAACTGTTTTATCCTGTCAGTGCCAGATGTTTTTAATCTATCCCTAAATGCCTTGAAAATCTCTCTTTAACTGTTTAATATCTATGAGATGCTCCCTTTAAATCCCTGTTGCTGGTGTCTAATTAAGGATTAACCATGTAAGCTTTATACTGATTAGGGGTGACAAAAATCTGGAATGTTTGTCACATTTCAGCATTAATTGGTGTGGTAAGTCCACTATTTGATCTCCCAACCGCTGAACAGTTTGCTGTAGTTCAAGCCACTTTCCCTTCCAATTTGTCATCCACCTTTGCCTAAGTGTTCCAGAGTTGATGGGAGTCGGCTTGCCACGACTGCACAAATTATTCAATTTTGATGAACTCATGTACTGCCCCTCCAGGAATAACAGTGATGGTAGCAATAGCTTAAGTCCCAGGAGGGGAGCAATTACGATCCCTACAAACTGGCGAGGTCTTTTAAAACATTTCTGGAACTATATGCAATAGGAGAGCGGTTTCTGGACTTGGACTATCTTCCCACCTACATTCCATTTTGCACGGGAACCCATACCCCCAGTCGACTTTTCAATAAGAGGCTGCTGTCTTTAGAAAAGTTTACACGCAAAGAATGGTTAAAACATGTACACAATCTACAATCTAAACATGTGACAGTAAATGCAGTTTCATTTGTTTCCAACAGAAAATACACATGGCAATTTCACACAATAAATTATATACCGTGTCTCAATTCTAGAATAAGAGGTGGAATCAGACCTGTAATATTCCCTATATGTCCTGGCTGGAGGTATTTTCTATAAATCCCATTGTTCAGGTCCTATTCTAGGTTTTAATAACCAGTGACAAGGCAGCATAAGGAGGCTCTCATGCCCCGCCATCAGCTATGGCCAGGTGGTATTAACACCATAGTTGCATGTGAAAAACTTTAATTTTTCAAAACAATTGGTTAAAAATTTTTTCATGGGGTTCCAGTCAATGTTAGTGTTTCTTAACACCTTCTTGTGCAGACCCTGACATTTAAGCCACTTAAGCCTAGTAGCTTCAATTCATGTCGGTAACTCATAACTGCACAGGTTTTCTTCTACCCTCCTGGCCTCTTTGGTGATGGAATTTTCTTATTCCACAAATGTTTCTCCTACTATTATATAATATCTGAAGTCGGTGTTGAGCTTCAGCCAATTATTCCAAACCTGGAATTTAGTAGTTATGCGCCCATGAATAATGGCAATACACAAAACCAAGAATGAAATTCACACTCCTTCCTGTGGGTGCCTAGCTAAAGCATTTCCCCCAAAGACCAAGGGTCCATACGGAACCATTTGCAAATATGAGAGGGCTGGTTTGGGTCAAACTCTACCATTTCTAACAGGGGTGAATGGGGAATGTAAGCCCAGTATGTGTGGTTGGCACCTACCCCAGGAGCTGCAGGAATAACAGTAATCATGGTCAGAAATAAATTTTCTGGGGTTATTGGCTTGTCAGTGTTTGTTAACGCAATTTCGGCCCACGTGCTCATCAGTTTCACCTGTCCCCAAGTAGGGAGGGTAGCTGATGAACGTCGGGCATTTCTTTCCTCTTTGCGGGGGCTGTTTCTAATGGATACAGCTGCCATTTCCATGGCGGGGATGGTATCAGGGTCAAAAGAACCAGGTGGTTTCTTCTTTTCCTCCTCCTTTTCCATCACTTTCCACACAGAGTCGCACTCTTCGAAGCGGGTTCCACATGTGTTCTCCATCATCTGTGGAAAGACAAGCATAGCCCAGACCCTGGGCAGTTAGCAAACCGGTTCCCAAGCGCTGCTGTCGTTCTTCCACCAGGTGGTCTCAGGATCAGTTTTCTCTGTGGGGGTGGAAAAAATGATGCTCTGCTCTAGGTAAGTCATAAGCTTTCAATCCATCCCTACTGGGATCAGGGCACAATTTTATCGACTATATTAAGGTTTTCGGGGGAGTTTGGTCTGAAACATATAAAGCTGACCTTTTGGCTACAGTGATGGCCAATTTAACCAGACCATGGGGAACCTTTTAATTGTGGGACAAAACATTTTCAAAAGGAATGCTAGCAATGCCCATCACCCAGCCCTACAGTCAGGTGCAGGCAAAGGCCCAGCTTGCTAGAGCCCCGATTGGTGTATGTCCTCCTTGCTGTAGATCTAAGCAGCCAAGAAGCAGTTAATACCTGGAGCGTCCCCAGTAGTTGTTAGAGCCAGAGTGTAGGGGTCTCTGCCAAAAGGAACAAATGGGCTTTTGCTAGGGAAATCTAATCTAAATACTCAAGGCATTCAAATTGTCACTGGAGTTATTGATCAAGATTATGAAGGGGAACTTAAAGCTGTAATTAAAACTGAAATCCCCTGGGTTATTAAAATGGGATAATCAATAATGCCACCATGTGTCAATTCTTTACTTTGTTAGACAAGTTTTACAACCAGTTAGAAAGCTTTTTCCCAGAGCAATACATTATTCACTACATGGGATGCTGCAACAAACTTATATTCACATCAGTGAGACTATCTCTCAAGCAGGATTAGCAGCTGCTCCTAAGATCCAGACAACCA